GGCAGGGGGGTTGGAACCAGATGATCTTTAAGGTCTCTTCCAACCCAAATCATTCTATGATTCTATGATTCTATAATTCTCTTGTCACCTGTTTGCTAGGACAGAGACAGGAGTCTCAGTGATCTTTTCCTCCCTTGCTGCCCACCCAGTGAAATGCTAAACAGGAAATACTTTGTTCCAAACTCCTGAAATCCTAAATTGTAATTGCTTTGGACAGACTTTCTAGGCGTCCTTATTATTTTTAATCATACTAATTAATAAAACTATTGGGTTTGCAGCTTCCTTTGTTTTTGGAAGGTGCCTACCGTATTTTGGATGTCACTGCAGTTTTAATAATCAGTGGGTATGCATACTGATGTACTAGACTAAGGCCTACCTGAAGAGATCAAAGAAAAAATATCTGCAAGCATGACATACAACATATATTGCTGGTTTGACTCAACTAAAATGGTTTTTAGAGATGTGTTTGTGCTCTTATTTCTGTTTACTGGAGACAGGACATCCAGATCAGGAACTGCTGGGTCTTGAATTACCAGCAGCCCTGCATGAGTTGATGACTGTTACGAGTAAGTTTTCCACAGCATCACAGCCATTCCTAGCTGTCCAGAAGGACAAAAGAATAAGCTGGAAAGCCAGTTCAGTAGAAACGTATTCGATTTAAAAAGAGAAAAAAAAAGAACTACAGAGAAAACAGAATGTAATTCAGAAAAAAAACAACCAGGAAACCCCTCACCCTTACCTCTGAGGAAAGCCGAGAGCGGTGTTTGTGGGTAGAATGATTGTCAGCCAGAGCTATACACAGTGTTTTACACACAGAGAGGAGGGGACCAGCAATGAATGTTACCAGGAATTAACGTTACTTCGATCCTCTATCATCTCAAACTACTCTGGTCTTCTATTGCTCCAAACTACTCTCAGGAATCAGTTTCTGCCTTTAACTCTCCCACATTTGTATTTAGTGGCTGTTGGCAAGTGAAGACTTCAGCATACATCTCACATCGTCAGCAAGAAGCCACTTCTGATACAGAGTATCATGAAATATTTTAGTTAGTAAAGCTTCATTAAATTTCCATCACTGCAGTACGATGTATATTCTCCAGGGGATGATGGTCCTACTATAATAGCATATAATAGCAAATGATCATAATATATGAATCACAATACATAAAAGTAATGTGACATTTTGAGTCATGGTTCCTAGACTGCTCAAAGTGTAATAGGCATCCATTCAAGTGCAAGTCTCCCTGCCGGAGCAACCTTTGACACAATGTTTAACAGATTTATTAAGTTTGTGCCGTAATTTTCTTCATGATTCAAATTACATTTGCAAAAATTAAAGTTTCTTAAAATATTAAACTTACTGCTTAAACTTCATGGACTTTTTAAATGGACAAACTAGGAAGTATTCTTTTTACTTTTAGAAGTTGGAAAGTCATCTTAAAAACAAAAAGGAGCTTATAAATACTTCTTTAAGGAAAAAGTAAACCAAATTAATTCCTTAAAAATGTTTGTGTGTGCCTACGGAGTTTAAATGCAAAATGTAAATACTTCTGAGTTATAAATTATCTACATGTTTTCATTAATCATACAAATATTTCCATAGTCACTGTAAAAGTGGGATGAAAATTTGAACTCCGTGAAATCAATGGCAAACTTCTGCTAATTTCAACTGAATTAGAGTACAGTAGTTTGCATGTCTGTTCCAGTAGAGCTGATGATGATAAAGAGAATTAGCATTTTTACAGTGCCTTGCAACTTCAGTATGCTGTCTAGCCACCGGGTAATTAATCTTCTTGATACTCCAGTCCATTGAGTTAGTATTATATTGAGGAAACAGAGGACAGATCAGACTTTAGAAATTCCATTTTGTTTTTCTTACGTAATTTCAAGGGAACCTGAACTTCTGGCAAAATTTGATTGCAAGTGCATTTTACAAAATGCATGAGAATTCTGTAAAATTCTGCAGTTCATGAGGTATTTCAGCCTTTTGACCGAAGAATCAGTGATAGCATGAGCTAAATACATTCTTCGTGATGCTACTTCATGATGATGTTGGGATAATTCTCCAGCTGTTTCTTTTACAAGTGTGCAACAACCAGTTTCATCCTCACAAGCATATATCATTTGAGGAGGTATGTGACATACAAGAATTTTTTAAATGACAACATTTCTCTCATTTTCCTTTGGCTTTTAAACAAAATGATTCTTCAACAAATATTGGAAGATGTGGGGTGTTTTTCCTACAGGAATGCAGACATCAAAAACTTCACAATATCTATGTCATCTTTTTAGCCTATAATTCTTCCAGCATTATATTAACTCTGGAAAATCTAATAGTCTCAAGAATTAGTTTTACTCATAATGCTGATCAGTTATGCAGAAGTAGCACTGTGTTTCGCTTAGCTGATCCACCAATGGGCATAACCTAATACTAGAAAGACCATGAAAGCAAGTGATCAACCAGCCTATCTGACCCAGTTTTTTACCAGCTCAGATCAGAAGATTCTCTTCAGATCATAAGATTCTCTTCAGATCATGCTTTTTCAGTGCTTTCATTTCTACCAAGCTTTTCATTTTAAAAGAATAATCCCCAGTAAGCACTTCCGTAGTGTTTTGTCCAAGCCAAAATGCAGTTTGCCAAGCAATGGAGGTTGAGATTTATTATTATATTAGAAACATAAATACCGTCTCTTACCTGAATGGCTTTGACATGTGACGCTGGCTGCTTTGACATTTTTAAGACAGAGGCTTATCCCTGGAAGCAAAATGGGAAAGTGTTACAGGCTCTGACATCCTGATAGCTAAGGGAGATAAGCTAGAATTTAACCCGTACTGCCTCTTGACAGGCATCCATTTCATCTGCCCAGCTCCTGTTTCCATCTCCTTTTCAGAGTTGCTTAGTTATTCCTTCTGAATATCAGAAGGAGACGGAACACCTGAGCTTCTCCAATTAATCTTTCATAGCCACAAATGGAGCTACCTCTTTCACATTAAAAACAATAATGAGTAGAGATAAGGAATCACTCAAACCTTAATGGCATTGTAAAATGAGTAAGAATTAAGGGAAGCACTTGAGGATAAACAATGTATGATTATCCCTGACATAGTATGTACGTGGGAATTCTTAGAACTCTCAGTTTAAATCTTCTTTCAAATAAAACATAACTTGCTACATAACTTTGATAAATGCAGACATAACTTTTTTCTGACTTGCAAATCCTTGCAAATTTTTAATGCCCATAGACTGAAAATGATCAAGATGGTCAAACTGTAAAGTTTTCTTTGCCAATTGCTATGGCACAAAGTAGCCCTTCTTGAAAGTTTTAAATTATATAGATTAATCTTTAGCAATAACATAAAAAACAACAGAGTTTTCCATATAATTTTATGCAGGTAGAGAAATACGGACTGATACAGTATTAATACAAAATAATGAAGGGATATACACCAAAGTCAAAATATTCAGTAAAGGTGAAAAAAAAAAAAGCCAAAACAAGCATGAAATTTCAGTATCAGATTAACTGAAACATCATCTCAGCCTTTTGTTCTTTCACTGAGAATTAAGATTTTAACTCGACTTGAGCTTCATCGAAGTCTGGTTATTTAAATATTATAATACAAAATAATATAGTAATACTAAAAGGTCAGAAATCAGTTCACCAGAGAACTCACTGATCACAGCCAAACTACAGCATATTTTTGCTACTATATTTAGCCTGAGACGAGAAGGAAAATTTTGAGAAAAGTAATAAATGACGTAGGAGAGAACAGTAGAAATATACTGAGAAATCAAAAGGGGGTCAAAGGCTTTGGTATTCCAAAGAGTATAACTGTCGTGTGGAGGTGGTATCAAAGAAAAGTGTAGATGAGTTGTAGGTTAGCTTCAGCCTGGAATATCAGCCTGAAATTGTATCACTGGAGCTGCATGGAAGACTTGTTCTTGCGCGTCCTCACATCAGCTTTAAGTCTGTGTATAATGCTGAGCAGAACTTAAAGTAGGAATGACCTGCCATTAGAGGTCTCTCTGATCGCAGTTTCAGCTGTAAAGAGTGCTGTTCAAACCAACACAGCGTTAAGTCAGAGGACATCATCTTCATATGTTGCTTTGAGTTTAAATTGCTTCCACTAAATCAGTAAATCAGAAAAAAATCCCACCGTGCAAAATAATAGCAGCACTCTTCCAGTGAGTTTTATATTGTGGTTTTACATTTACATTTACAATCTTAAAATCAGAGGTAGTTTTAAAAACTTCAGAATTCACTTTGGGGGATGAAATCTTGGCTACTGAAGTTCATGACAAAATTTGTACAGATTTCTAAAAGCCAATGTGATTTACTGCACTCTCTCTTTTTCCTTTTTTAAAATCTTTATTATGCATAGAAATAACTGTGCTGTTAACCAGTGGTTGTATTCGAAAGACAAATACAAAACAATTCCCCACTTTATTGGAAAGACAGGACTCATAATACAGAAAAGTTTAATTAATTTCACTTATCATCTTCTCTTTCTAATCAGAATGAAAAATGGAAACAAAAACACAGGAAATTAAAGCATTTAAAAACACCTTGGATCTACTTTCTAAATACTGTGACAAAGAAATTCATGCTAAGATGTACTTCTGCATCCTGCGTGCCTGTGCATTGCAAAAACACTGATACACACTTCTTGGGCCACCCAGAGCCAACAGGGCAAGGATTTACATTGCATTTCAACTTTAAAACAAGCACAGCGACAGTGCTCCTCAGTGAGGTGCCCTGGGTTCGCAAGAAGCCTGCATTCGTAATGACTGCAATCAGATGCCGGTTCCTAAAGACAGATGCATGATAGAATTGTGTAGGACTGTTTTTGGAGGAGGTGATTTTCCTACCAGTTCATGCTGTCCTCATTACTGCCAGAGAAATCAGGACAACAGCACACTACTGAGTAAAAATAGACAATCTTCTCCGGCTCTCTCCCCTTCCCTCCCTTCCCTGAGTTTCCCTCCAGAGCAATACTGACCATCAACCACAGGAAAATAAACCTTAGATTACAGATGCATCTATTACTGAAATGATTAGTTAATTTTCAGAAATTCTTTTGTTCTTTCACCACGTGTCTCAGAAAGACAGTCAAGAGTGCTGCACTGATTGTGTTATTCCTGGCATTCCAATCAGCTCTGTAAACTTGTCAAAACCACTCTTCACCCTCATTTCCACTGCAGGATTTCACATGTATGCAGCCAGCGAAATGCACACGCACGCAGCCTGTATTCCCCGGTGTCTTCTGGCCTCCCCACACCTTACCTTTTACCTTTTATGGGCTGCATGCTGAGCCAATCTTAGACAGCAACAGTGTGGTTAGTTCAGTTTGGAGCTGTTTCATGCCAGGCTTCCCCTGTAAATTCCCTCGCTTTGCAGTGAAAGTACTCATGAACAGGACTACTTGTGAAATACCGGACTACTACAATGAAATAAAGCAGCGTTTTGAAAATAAACTGTGTAAAACAAAGGACTTATCTTCTGTCCTTTTGCTAAAAACAATTTCTGTCAGGGCTGCAGCAAGATAATAAGCCGACTCGTTCAATTTGCTTTAAATACGATGAGATACCATAATGCCGTCTTTTGTAACCCGCACAAGAGACGTACGGTAGCACACAGACAAGGGAGAAAGCCCTCCCCCTGCCCCAGCTGGAAGCTGCCCTCTCCCCCCGCCGCCCTCACGGCATCAAGCACAACAGGGACTCTGGACACAGAACTGCAGTGTATTCTATTAAAAGGCTTTGACAGGAACTACACTACTGCGAGACCCAGCTAGTACACAGACAGAAGAGAAACCCCCACTTTGTGGCTTCCAGCCTGTTACACAAAAACTTACTACATGTGCTAGGCAATTACGATCACATTTTCTGTAATGCAGCTGTCTCCACTACAGTTACCTGTTAAGCTTACAGCAAAAGAACACCTCTCTTACCACCAAAACCCCCATGTGATATTTCACTAGCTGTAACAAACATATGGAAAACAATAAGCTTGTACCTATGCACTGCAGTATTCAAGCTAATATACAGTTCGGCTTCTTACGAGACACTAGGTATCGAAGTGACTTTCTGTTTTAAATCTCTAAAGATCCCCACAGACTATGAAGCAATAACTATAACAATCTGCTCTGAATACACTGACACTCTGTGCGAGACATTAAAATAAGCAGAGACCCATAACTATTGTAGTCACCTCGCAGCAGTTACTAAAGAGTTTTCATAAGGGTCTTTCGAGTTTTTAATTGACCCCTTCAAGATCATCTTACTTATTTACTTATATAAGAAAAGATCCAAACCGTCAAGTGAGTATGTGCACCTCCTTTCGATGCTGAAAGAGGTACCTTCTTCGACCAGCTGAGGTATTGACTGCGATCCTTTTAATGTGTCTGAAATAGCTCCGATGCTTTCAGCCCGGACGGCACTGAGAGCTGCTCCAGGCTGGAGTGGGACTCGGCTGAGAAGCGAAGTGTAAAAGCGAATTCCTGTCATAGCTTCCAGTTGTTCTTCCTAAATATAGAGTTTGATTCACCCTGTAACTCGGTCCCCTGTGACACTTGACCATCGCAAAACCAGGGCTCAAGTGTCAAGCGGGAGGTGCTGAAGGAACACACCTTTGGGTCCTTTTCCTGCCCTCCTTCTCCCTCTTGCCCTGCGCTTTTCCCCAGCGCCAGCCATACAGCAGCGGGAGGTAACACGCAGCTCCTCCCGCGGCATCTGGGGCAGCGCGGGCCCCCCTGCTGCCACACCGGAGGAGAGAATAATTATGGAGACATAATTACGAAGAGCTCACCTCGGAGTGACAAACTAGGGGAGGTGAACGCCACACCAAGGTGACTGTCTCGCCAGTGCACACAGCAGCTGCCTCAGGCTCTTGGTGTAGCGCTGGCCCATGCGGGACAGCCACGCTGACGGCGAGGAGGGTTCCTGACCCTGCGAGGCCACAGCGGCCGGCCGTGAGCCTTAGGGTGCACGGATGGAGAGGAGCTAAGGGAAGAGTGCATGGGAGGGAGCTGCAACAGCTAGTGAGGGAAGGGAGACGTTACTACACAGCCGTGCTCCTACTGGCTGGAGTACTGTCTTTGGTGGAGGCTACCAAAGGACACGTGCTACGGCAAGGCGTGCGTGGGGCACAGCTGCACATTTCCACCCCCAGAAGCGCAGCCTCCTGTTCATTGCATCCTCACAAGAGAGAACTTTCCTCTTCATCGCTCCTCCGCCGTACCTGATCTCCACCTGACCCATAGCCCTAATGGTGACAACAGCAGTGTCGTCTATGGGCGATACAGTCCTGGCCACTTGCTGCTGGAGAAGGACAGGGCAACTTTGAGGAGATGAACAACTTTCAAAATCAGTGTCAAAGACATTTATAACAACTAGTGGTTGGGATAGTGATTTCAAAGAGCATTTCCCTTGACTGTAACTTATTTGATCAATCGCTCTTTCCATTTCAAGCTTCCCAAAGAGGAAGATGACCTCCCAGAACACTTCATTAAGCCTGTGACTCACTCTCTGCTGCCCACTTTCCCAAAAGCGCTGTCATCTGGAAGCAGCTGATACAGCTGACGACTTGCTCCAGCAGCTTGCAGACTATTCATAGCCACCCTCTTCCCAAGGAGCCTTGACAACATGGACACACACCCAGACACGCAACAGGCACATGCATTTGTATTAGGTCGAGACTGACGGAGGTACGCGGAGCAATCAGCTCCTTCCAAGGAGACCCCTTGGCCTGTTTCCTCAGAAAGGCTGAGCATGGCTGTTGTCAAGTATTTTGAGGCATGAGAAGACTCCTGCACTTGAGACACAGCAGAGCTCACACAGGGCTCACAGACCTGTCTTTTGCCTAGAACAGAGGTGTTTGCTGTTGCAGTCTAAGGTGCTGCCACCCAGGTGGGTGAGACCACACTAAAGCAAAGCTGGAGTCAGATAGTGCCTCTATATACACCCTTGTGAAGTTTCGTATTTACAACAAAAGTATTAGAAGGAAATGAAATAGGCGATATATTTTTGTAACATGGTCTTGTACATGGATTTATTTCAATTTATTTTACAGTAGTTTTGTTACAAACCATCTCTGGAATGCACGGTTCTTTCTTCCATGTGTCATTAATTTAGCAAAGGTAGGCCATTGCTTACATTTTATAATCCCATTGTCTTGCAAATATGCCTAAGAAATGCCAGCTCAACACTGTTTTCTCCAACAAGTTTTCATAGCAGTGACAAGTAATTTAATAGATAGTCTTAGTGATGTGTAAATAGGAAAAGAATCTACCTCTTAGGTCACACCTAACATGCATAAACTATCATACCTAAACTGTATTAAGTTGTTAGAGTAAACACAAATTCTATCACTAATATAAGAAAATGTAGATCTGAGTAGATCTTAAAGGGGAAAATAGACACTTTTAGCATTATTTTGCAGAGTACAAGTCCCTTTGAATAACCACTGGGATGCGCACCCCATGACTTGCAGATTCATCTGCTAAATACATGCAGCAGATGATGTAGTAAGTAAATAATGAGGCATATTTGCATTTCAGATGACAGATTCTACACCTGGCAAGTTAGAGCCAGGTACATTGACACACACTGCATAAAATTCTTACATCTCATGTACAGAGATCCAAAAGACATAGTAACAATGTGTTTATCTGAAACATGAAAATCCCAATGTAGTTCAAAACACAGTTTTGTTGCATTCCTAGAAGCTTCCTGGGACAGCTTATTAATTTTGAAAATGAAGCTGATGGTTAACAGAAACATGTATGTATCTTACTTCTTGACTGAGATATTTCGCTGTATAATGTCAGAATTGTTTCTTTAAGCTGTCACTGCTTAATATGCTTACTTCAATGTTTTTCTTTTTGAGCAACCTCATGAGCACAGATATAACTTCCCTGAGGCTCTCAAAATAAAAATATTTTTTCTATTGTAGTCCAAAATGTTTTAGTATAATCCAAACAATGTAATACAATTGAAAATGCGCATCATCAAAGGAGCAGTCATAACCTCAGCTCACTTGAAATAAGACTTCTTTAAAGTAAAAAGTTAAAAAACACTTTCCTGCAGTTTTGCTTTCAATCACCAAGTAGTAGCAACATATTATAGAACTTTGGCAATGCAAAACTTTGCTTCCCTATCCTAATTTTAGCTCTATAAATTACAGTTTATTACCAGATAAGAATAGTGGGCCCAGGATATTAATTATTTGGTTAATCAGTTCCTATCACTACCTTCATTTCAATTGTTTGGTGAAGAATCTGAAAACTAAAGTTGCCGTGCAAGAGAAACCATTTTCTTCACCCAACACACCTAAGTTATTAAGATTTAGAAACAGGAAATCTGCTATGAGACAGATTTATGAGAGGACTAACTCAGAGGATCCTGGGAAAAAAACCCCACCATCCATTTTCTAACCCACACAGATTTTATTTGTACTTTTGTGCTCTTTTCCTTGAGTAAATATATTTCTGTTCATGTAACAATGATTTGGCACATAGGCCAGATGAAAGACAGAGACCTTTTGCAATGGTACCTAGTCATACAAGGTTAGACAGAACTGCAAAAATTTAAAATACAGTGGAGCTAGCAATTACCAGGCCTCAGACACTGTTCTTACTCTTGCTTCAAACTGAAAATATGTTTGAATTCTAAATTGCAGAAAGAATATCAGACCTCCGCTGCTTTGTCAAAAGAAATGTTGGTTGAGGAAGTATCACCTACTGTTCAACTGTTTCTTCCAGTTTCCCCCAGTCCATATGTTTCTTAATATCAAGAAAAAAATGAGCACTTTCTCTTGAGTTTCTACTTGTACAGCTATGCCAACAACAATAATGTCAGGCTATTTAAATAATGAATGACATAAAATTGCATGCAAAAATGTTTGCTGTTATCTAGTGGACAGGAAATCAACAAACATATCTAAATCAGCTGCGGTTTTTTCTGTGACATTTCAGAGCCGCTAAATATTAATTCAACTCCTGCATGCTCTCTTTCTTTTCCATATAAAAGCATGGTGATTATTATCACAGATTGTTCCATCAAGAAATAATTAGCCTTGTATTAAGAAGATGGTCTCATTAGAGGCTGCCAGTGACCTTGTTCTAAATTTCACAGTTCCAGCATCTTTTAATAGCATTGTTAGCATCATCTAAGAATTTGTATTAATTTCTAACAACTGCATTATGAATATAACCCACACAAGTGCTAGAACATTGTAACTTTGACCACTGCATCACCCAAAAGCCGTATTCTCTGTTGCTTTGTATTCTGTAAGGATTTTATTTACCAAAATGTTTTGAGTAACTGAAATGTGACGATGACATACAAGCAAAAAATTTGTTTCCACATCTCTCCTGGAAAATTTTGGCCATTATACCCAGCAAAGCTGATGAGACCATAAGAAAGAACAAGGGCACTGGCAGATTTTGAAAGGAAGACGAATTTTAAATGACATGCTGATTTTGTAAACATCCTGTCTGCTATAATGATTCAGCATCGTTTGGAAAAGAAACAAAAAACATGACATTGCACCATCAGATTTTGTTCTGAGGAAACAAGTTTGACAGAATAGGAACTGACTGAATTACTGGTGAAATTCTGAACAGAAAGACTCCTCATCATTTTCACAAGTCACGATAATTCAGACAAGCATCTATTATCTTTTTCAACCCCATAACAGACTTGTTTTCATGAAGGCCATCCCTGCCAGTTGATTACATCTGCTGAACACTATTAGCTCTTGTCTTCAATGGTCAGATTAAGACCTCACTTGATGTACAGTAAGGAATTTTGCCACGGTACATACCTGGCCCAAAGATGCACAAGAACTAGGTACTGATATACCAGAGGAACTGGGGACTCAGCACCACACAAAGATATGCACTTCTGTCTCGTAATGAAGCATGGAATAAAATTGCAGCTGTGCATGTAACCAGCTCACGCACAGCTATGATCCCGCTGTGAGAGCAAATGTAGTAGACTTGAGAAGAGCAATCACCTGCAGTCTAACAAAGAGAACAAAGACTAATTTCTAATGATTCCTCATCTAAATGGCATATTAACAAGAATAAAGACATGCTTGACACATGAAAAATCTGCCTAGTAGAAAGATGGACCAAGAACAAGGCAGATCAGGCAATAGGCTGGAGGAACCAGAATATCAGGGACATTATAAAGAAATGAATGTCTTTAGATAAAAAAAATTACTGAATTCAAGGACAACTGCACCTACCTGCTGAATCATACATGATTGATCAGTTGCTATCTTTGGTTTCTATCTGCTGAACATGAAATAAAAGATGAAGATTGATAAACGGTGGGTGTGAAGATTCTTAAAGTTTGAATCAATAGCAGGACACTTATCTTAGTTCCCATGAGTCATAAGGAAATAAAATCCTTAGCTTCTCATACCTCCAATGTTCTGAAAAATAAGACAATCAAGAACAAATGCTTTCC